GTCACTCCCAGTCTTTTCAATGTATGCATATATATATATATATATATATATATATATATATATATATATATATATATATATATATATATACTTTTTTTTTAATCTCAATATTTTATTTCCGTTGCATAGATATCTCTGTAAGATCGTCGATGGAAACGATGGCGTTCGTCTTTCGTGATAAATCGAATAATCAGCTTTCGATGGGCAGGATGCGACTACCCGGTCCGCGTTAACGCGGTGAGATGTTAGAAGCCATCGTTGGCGAAACTGATCGAGGCGTAAACTCGATCGCGATCGTTCCATCCGAATTCCTATCGCACTTTCCCGTTAATGGCCCTCTCCCCTCTCTCTCTCTCCCGCCGCCCCCTCCTCCCGGTGTTCCCGGCCGAGCTGTTTAATATTTACGGCTGACTAGCTTTTACTGCAACTTTCGACCGATGTTACGGCCGATTTTATTAGCGGCAACAGCCTCGCTAAACGGGGGAACGCGTAAAATACGAAAAAATTGTCGAGGAAGAGAGGAGGCGTCTCTAAACCTGAAACGAAAAAGCGACGCGGGACTTTTTTTTTTTTTTTTTTTTTTTAGACTGAAATCGAAATTGAGATTAATTTGAATCGGTCTGTTCAAAAATTTGACGTTTCAAACAAATTTGATGAAATTGAGAGAACGAAGGAGAGAGAGAGAGAGAGAGAGAGTGGGAAGGAACGAGGGAGAAAAATCTCAAGTGCAAGAGCGCGATCGCGTGATTGGTCGTCTGGTAACCGCGGCGGTGTTAATTAAAATTCCGCCGGAAATACTTGCGATCATGCCGCCGAAGGAACGATAGTCTCGATCGCAGGATAAATTCATCCGCGCTTCCGCGATATCGCGAGACGCTGAAAATGAAAATCCGGGCTTGATTTTGTGTTTCCAAGTATAGTTATCATCTTTGGGCGTTTTGTCGATGTTTTTAGATATTTGAGTAGATATAACATTGTGTACCCTATTTATGAGTATTTTAAAAATTTTCTGTTTTTTTTTTTTTACTTTATGATGGAAACTCATGATGGAAACTTTATGCTTTACTTGTCTTCTAGATAATTCTAATGTTAATTCTAAGAAATATTGCAGACTCAGAATATTCTTGTTGTATGTATTTTGTTATATAATATTTTTGAATATTTTGTTCTATCTTTTAGACTCGTTATATTTCTTTTTATCGACTTTGTTATATTTCTGGAGACTCGAGTGATTCTTCGTAAAACACACGAATAAAAGCTTGTGTACCCTGTATTTAGTTATTAAGTATTATAAAGATTTTCCGTCGTTTTCTTTTTTAATTTAATGTCTCTGTTGGAAATTTTACACTTCGATCGTCGTTGATTCTAATAAATATCGCAGACATTTTGCTCCAAGTAGCCAAAATTTTACACAGAATTTGATATCGGGAGACTGAAATCTCCTGGAATTTCGTATTTGATAAAATTGGAAAACTTCGCGATGTGAGAACGAGAAGGCACAGCCTTTGAGGGGGCGTGGACATTTCCGCGCCACGGAAACGGAAATTCTAATTCGCGAAAAGCGTCCAGGCCCGAGACCACGGCTCAGCGAGGCCAGCGTCGCGACGCAACAGGTCTCGACTGCATGTCTGCGGCCATTCCGCGCGTCGGCCAGAGGATCCGAATTGGTTCAGCCAGCTTATGGAACTTATTTCTGGCGACTTTGCGTCTATCAGGCCTCAGTTCAACTCCTCTTAATCCTCTCTCGCCCTCTCTTGCGCTGGAATGACGTGCCACGCAATATTACAATTTTTTTGCTCCAAAGCATGTAATGTTTTCTCAGTTTCAAATGTATTTAAGTAAAACAAAATAGGCGAGACAAATGATAAATTTATTACTTCTTCATAATTTCTATCCAGTGATATTATATTGACGAGTTTCAAAGAAAAAGAAAGCGACGAGTTATTGTATATATATATGGTCGCTCGTTATGGTCCGCAATCGGTGGGCCAGCGCAAGTGGTTAAGGAGTTAATACAGCTTTAATCTGTAATATAATTTAACAATAAAACACACTAAATGTCAATGTATTTAACTAGAATATAGGTTATATTAGGTTGTGTTATAAAATATTTTATATTATAGCGTAACATGTTATAATAAGTAAAATTACATATTGAAGTAAAACAAAATAGGCGAGTCAAATAATTTATTACCTTTCAATAATTTCTAATTTAGTGATTATCATGCCGACGAGTTTCAAATGAAAGCGACAAATTATTATGTACGGTTTGGTCGCTCGTTATGGTCCGCAGTCAGTTGCCAGCGCAAATGGTCAAGTGATACACCCATAAGCAATGTCGTTTTCCGTGTACACTGTAGAAAATTTCATTTCATTTAAAAGTTAATAAACAGCTTTAATCTGTAGTATAATTCAACAATAAAACACACTGAATGTCAATATATTTAACTGGAACGTAGGTTTGGGTTAGGTAAATTTATTACTTCTCAATAATTTCTCTCCAGTGACTCACCGACGAGTTCGGAA